CCCGCCACACTGCCTCTTGTCGCCTCCTTCTGGGCTGCGGCTTGCCTGGTTAGCTGAGGGGTGGGGAGGCAGGGTGCCAGATAGCGCCCTTCGGGCTGGGGGAAGGGGCTCCTGCACGAGGCAGACCCTTTTAAAAGGCTGCGAGGGCACTAATTTAAGTAAGAGCTTTGCTTGGCTCCTCTTCCTGAGTGTTAGTGGGGCTCAGCCTTCCCAGGGACAGGCTTAGGAAGAAGCAAGCGCTTATGAAAATGGTCTGGAGAAAATGAGGTGATGTCCAGGTATCGGTCAGGGCGCTCTCATCCTGATCAGTCTGGTTGCACACACTGAAGCCCACAAGCCTATGGCACGGCCTGAAAAAATTAGAAAATGCTATTCAGAAGATTAGAAAAGATTCTTGGTGTGGACAGTGAAAATGCTTACCCACTCTTGCAGAATACAGAATATATCTGAGGTTTTGACTGTTGAGGTTACAGAGAATAAAATATTTGTCATTGTTACAGTTTATGGATAATGAATTGCGGTAGCAGTGGGTGGATCTATGTTGAGTTTATACTTTTGTGCAGTAAAGCTACCTTGGTTAAAAGGAGAAGACATTTATTGCAGAGTATCAGTCTGGAAATACCCTATCACTGGTTTATTTTATTTAAACATTTATACTTTCTTTCTTTCCCCAAAATATTTTTGCATCACCTAGAATGACAAAAGTGGATATCAAGAATTACCTTGAAAAAATATACAATGTGCCGGTAGCTGCTGTGAGGACCAGGATACAGTATGGTAAGTGTAGCTGAGGAATCCAAAGGGATGAATACATCATCCCTGTGCAGCCAGAATAGACTTTTGCTCTCAAAAGGTCCATTAGATTTCAACAGACTTTGATTCCAGGTGCTTAGCTGGTCACATCTATCAGCTTAGTTGTTTATTTGTCCCTTCAAATGAATATGCACCACTTCATATTTGAATGCTTTAATTAGATTATGACAGAAGTTTAGTTTTAAAAAGAAAAATCTGAATTTAAGAAGCCTTATCATCTTGACAGTTATCTAGCTTGTGCTGCATGCTTTTGTAGTGGGTATTGTTGCTCCATGAAGACCAGTGGGTGTCTCACTTCAGAGGGAACAGCTTCATGTGTTTTAATAAAATTAGTAATTAAATCTAATTTCAGCCAAAGCCTTTTAAAAAAATACGGGAGTTAAAATTACCTGGCATGCATGCAGAGGAGGTGTTGTGGTCTAACAAAAGGCAAAGTTTGTAGAGCAAATTAAAATATTCTGTTAGACCAGTAGATAATGTCAGAAAAGCATCTTGACAAATTTTAAATTTTTCATCACCTGTTGTTACCACATTTCTGCTACAGGCTTGTATGCTTCCACTCATGGTGTTTCTCCCTGTGCCAACCCTACAAAAAAAGAAAAACCCACCAAAAACGCAACATAAAAAACCCACGAGAAAACGAAAAAATGTTGCTAGTTTAAGTTATGCTGAGCTCTGTCTTGGAGCAGAGGGACCCACCTCTTAACTGAAATAAGCTAAATTTATGTAAGGTCACCTTATATATGAATGCTTCCTTCCCCAGAGCTTCTTTGACTGCAGTTTGGATGGAGTGCAAAGTTAGGAATATAATTTTCATGTTATTTACCTTTTTGGTCACCAGACAGTGCATTAATCAAATAGAGAGTGACTTGTTGGCTAGGATGTCTTTGATGGCTGGGTTTGTTTTTTTTTTCATGCAGTGACTCTAGCAAAGGAATTGATTGATGTGTTTATAATGGTGAGGGTAGGGATGATTTTCAAAAAGGTATAGGAAAAATTGCTGTCATAGTGAAAAATGGTGAATGAAAGAAAAAGCTTCAAAAGAAGGTTGTAACACTGAGAACCTACAAAAGAAGAAAAAGAAAACAGAAGGATCATCTGTAATGTGCTTATGTGAAAAATAGGATTAAATAGTGTCTTAAATACCAAACATGCAATTCCAAACAGCACTGAAAAATATTCATGCTTATCCTTAAAACCATTTTGTCCCCCACTGCTAATGGAAGTGATGGTAGAATAAAAGGGAAAGAAGAGGAAAGGGGGTTAGAATGTCTAATAATTTGAGAGCTTTAATGTCTGCCTAACACGCAGGGAATAAATTCTAACTTCCCACTCAGTTGTGACCAGTGTACTTGCAGAAGGTTGAGGTGCTTTGGGTTTTTTGGATGTGGAGTGTAATTTCCTGGTGTATAAACAGTAGATCCAGCTCATTAGCTGGGTAGTAAAAATTGACAAGTTTGAAGCTGTTTAGTGGTCACTTCCTCCTTGTCTTCCTGAAGCTGTTGATGTTGAGAGGATGGTTTATCAATCCTGCTCCCCTTCTCGGGAGACTAATCTCCTTTCTTCTTTGCAAGCTTTGTGTGTGAGGTGAAGGCACAGTGGCTGTCAGCAGCCTTGGTTGGTCATGCCACGGTTCTCTACTTGTAAACGAGGAGAGTAGTGTCTACCAATTTCAGAACATTTTAGTAATTGTGATACTGTGTTGGAACTGAGGAAAGAATATTCATTCCTCTTAATGATAAATCAGAACTAGTGAAGTCTGTCCCTTCAGCTTGGCCTTGCTTTGGGGAACTTGGAAGTCCTGGGAAGTAAAAGGTGGGACTCTCTTCATTTCTGCAGGTGCAAACAACAAGAGGAATCACAAGAATCAGAGAGTGAAGAAGCCAGATTACAAAGTCGCCTATGTACAGCTGGTGAGTTAATGTGGATGCTTGTGGGGAAAGAGAAAGGGACTGTCAACCAGCCAAGCTAGAAGTAACGTTCAGTGAATTGTCCGGTTGGCTGAATATTTCTGCCAATCCTCTAATAATGACATTTTCTTTAATAGGTTCCAGAATGTGTAAAGTGATCTAAATGACTTAGTCTAAAAATCAAATTCAAACAAATGGTTAGTTTTCAAGTCCCATATTTGTCTGAGGTCTGTATGTAAGTTACGTTCTGATGTCATATGGCGCTGCTTTGCCAGTGAGTTTCATGCTGACCCTGTACTCTGTGTGCTGGAAGGTTCACGACTTGTGTGGTTGATTGCTGAAATGTCCAGTAAGTGAAAGAATATATTGTAAGGGTAGGCAGCTTCTTATTAAAGCTTTTTGGATTTCAGAGAAGACTAAGGCATATTCCTTGGAGAGCATTTAGTCACGTCTAACAAGCACGCTTTGTGGCTAAAACTGGGTTCTGAAACGTATGTTGGTTGCCCAGTGGAAAAGGAGCTTCATGTTCTGATGAATTTCTTTCTTAACAGGAGCATATTATAGTTGGGACTTCTTTTGGGCTTACCTGTCTCTATGTAAAAGCGAAATGCAACCAGTGACAGGAAACCCCTTCACATACCAAAATTACATTAAAGGAATGCTATTTATGGTTGTAAAACCATAAGCTCAAAATTGCTGTTGGCAGCACAACCTCAGAGTTACTCCATCCTGGGACAAGGATTCAGTGTGGGGGGAACACTGCGATCTTAAAGGCTGTGTAAGACTTCATACAGACTTCAGGTCAAACTAAAGAGGCACAGACAATGGGAAATCTGATGGTTTTTTAATTTTTCAAAGTTTACATGTGCTGAGAGGTTTTTCCCTAAGCCCCTTCTGGGAATGGGAGTGGAAAGAAAAGTGAGGAGAGTATGTTTTTCTAGACAGCCCTTATCTTTAAAAGAACAGTATAAAGTCCAATGTTAATAGAAAGTAAAAGAGTTGTATTTAGATGAGGACTAACCTTGATTTACTGTGCTGAAGTTAAAGGCAACCTCGTCTCCATGAGGATTTTGCATTATGATGGCTAAAAAACACATTCCTTTTTCAAGGAAGAGTCTCTGCTTTGGTGGGCAAATTCTCCCTCCTGGATTGTCTGTGCTAGGTTTTTGTCTGCGAGAGAGCAGGTATGAATGATTCATTAAGAACACAGCTGAGGAATTGAATCCCAGGAGTGATGTTCTATCTTTTAAGTTGCTTTCTGAGTGTTGTTCCTCAGAAGGTAATTGCAAGCATTTTCCATCGTCACGGCCTCTTGCTTGTGACTCCTTTGCTTTTAGAGACTCGTTTCCCAAGATTGAAGCAGACATGGATCTTGGTGAACTGTGGTCAGTTCTCAAATTTTATTTCACTGTAATTAATGCAGTCTTGTTTCTTTCATCTGCTGAGTTGAGAAGGAGGTAGTTTGCAACCTGTAGATACTTGGGGCTGAGGGGGGAGGAAGGAGTGCAAAGCAAAATGCTGTTCTGTGGAGCAAGCCACTCATTTAAGGCAGTGCCTTTGTGCATTTATTTCACATCAAACCTCTGGACCTAAAGTAGTTGCTATTACCTTAAGGGCAGCTCCATGGTGGAGAGGAGAATTACCCAGATTAGCTTGGTACTGGAGGCAGTTGGACAGCAGTAACTCTGGTTGTTCCTCCAGCCTCTCATTTTGTCTGCTGGCCAAATTAGCCTGCACAGGGCCCTGTGGTACTGTGGCTGAGGACTGCTTTCGGTACATGGAACAGCAAGCATCCTGTACTGTGTTGTCCTATATTATAGTATCATGAAAAGTTTTTAAAGAATGCTATGTTTTCCATCTGACCCATAAACGGGGTCAGGGGGCCAGCTTTTAGTGTTGTGCTTCATCCCAAGTGAGGGAATCCTGACGGTTTACTAAACTCCTGCAGTGAAGCTTGGTCTGTAAATTTTTGCCTCACCTCATTCCTAGTCTCTTTGCTCTCTTTTTTTTCTGTTGGTGTCTGTGAATTCCTTTAATATTTAGGTTTCTCTGTGTTTGTTTTTTCTTTCTCCTTTTCCTTTTGTTCATTGCTTTTCATCGTTAGATCTGGTGTGGACAGTGAGCTCCCAGCTTTGTGTTCACACGAGCTTTAAACAGTGGGTGAGGCCAGAAACCCAGTGTCATTTCTGAAACTGAAGGTTTTGCCTTCATTCTCATTCATGATGTGATTCAGGCCGTGACAGGCCCCATGCAGTCCATTGTTAATATCTGCCTAATTTAGGAAAGTCTTTGGTAACCACTGTAAAATCCTTATTTTCATGAGAATTAGTTTGCATCTGCCATGAGTCAGAGTGGCTGGGCTTTCCCACCATTTTTACCAGCTGTGTTTTCTCTCATTAATCCAGTTTCAAGTTAAAACTGCTTATGACTGGAAAAATAAGCGTGTGTTTTTGCAAGGTCTCGGGTTGATCTTTCTATTGCCCACTAGGTGGAAGTATTGCTCTTTCCAGCATGACTTGGTAGCAGCTGTGGTGCGGTTTACCTGAATGAAATTGAGTATATTCTCATGATCAGTTATGCTTCCCTGCTTCATAAAACATCACCTTATGTGTCTCAGCACAACATGCATGTCCATTAAATTACTGCAAGTGTCTCAAAGGTGGAAGGTGTGTGAAGTCATAGTCAACTTACCCTTAGGTGTCAGATTAGTGCCCCAGCTGTTCCACATGTAAGAATTGTTGCCCTTTCTTTTCCAAATACTATTTCTTGGAGATTCAGAGCTGTTTACTTTATTCTCAGGCAGTAACTGGACAAATACATGATCTGTCCAAGCATAATATTTTCACACTAAAAAAATACCTCAAATCATAGAAGGCTGTGGATCAACAATATCTTGCCATTCCAGAGCCTGCTTGCCTTTTTTCCCCTTTTGGAATGTGGTGAGAAAGGTTTACGTTAGCGACTTCAGGCCCTGGGTATCAAATGCCACGTTTTTTACACAGTTTTATTTTTTTAGTTAAAAAACAAGCTATGTATCTTTGCAGAGTAGTTAAATGAATGTAATACAGCAACCTTTCTCATTACTCCAATACAGTTATAATTATCCCAATGTTATTTTAAAAAAAAAAAAAAAAAAAGAAAAGAAAGCCAGTGGGAAACTTGACAGTTGCATCAACATCAGGGAAACTGAAAAAACTAACAACATCCCCTCCTCCTCCTTCACTGTTCTCACTGGTTTAGCTCAACAGGTGTTAGCACCCGTGGGAGCACAACTGTAGACAAGCCTCTGGAATCCAGACCTATTTTTAATTAAACCTGTTTTGAGAAATCTAATGGAGATGGCTGTAAAAAGGAGTCTGACCTTGTCAACATTAGGACTAACACCTATTTAGCTGTGTGAATGATGGCACCGGTGGGAACATTTTTGCAAATGGTTTCTTCTCAAACCCTGTTTAGAGTGTCTGGTACATTCATAGTAATTAACTCATTTACACATCAGATGTGACAGCACTTTTCTTTTGACATGTAGCGAATTCAGAGGAAACTTGGATGCTCTGTATTCTGTGTTATTCCTGTGTGGATTTTTGAAGTTGCTTTCCATGCTGTTTTGCCATACGCTTTAACATCAGATGTTACCGCTGCAACAGTAGGAGAATGGCTTGAATGCACTGAATTATTAAAGTTATCTGCATTTGCTGCTACTGCTGGACCGAATCCCACGCTGTTGGGAGTCCAACATTTTTTTAGTTAACGATACTATCAACATCACTTTTCTCCTAATTCTGAAGGACAGTAGTAAGTGCTTCAATTATCTAAATAATCAGAAGATCTCACAGTTGTTTACATGGTCAGTGTTTGCTGCGTCATTCCTGCATAATGATATCTGTGCTGACCTTCCATTCCTAAACTTTTCAAGGGACGAAAAGGTCAGAGAAGTATAAGTGAGTTTGTGCCGGATAATCCTTCCAGCAATTTTCTGCCATGAGGCTCAGCAGTGGAAAGGCTAACACTTGACTTCATAGGCCTAATTATGGTCACTTAACCTCTCATTAAAATGAATGGAGGCAATTTGTACAACTCAATGTGATAACTCCTTCTACACACTCAGAGAACAAGGTGTGTTTTCAGCCTTTCTAATGAAAAATGCTTGAAATCTAAGAGCAAAATACATGTTTGATGCATAGGTCAATTTTTATCTTGAATGATGTTAGCATTTAATAAATTAATCCTTGTAAGACCTTGTATATAAATCAGTTTTACATTTGAGTAATGCTGAAGCGAGGATTAGAGTTGTGCAGGAATAGAAGCTTAATGGCTCCCATTTTTGTAATCTAAACACTGGACCACACATCTCACTTGTACATAATCTTAGAATTTGTAGGAAAAAGGGAGGTCTCTGGGAAGACCCCAAATTGAAAATAGCAATGCGTAAAATTGCCTTTATTTTTTAGGTGTTTTAATACCACCTCTCTGACTTGCTTTGTTTGGTTTTTTTTTTCTTTTTTCTTTTTTTTTTTTAAACATTACAAGGGCTCATTTAGATACAAGAGCATGTGGTGATTGAGATTATCCTGACAAGTTCCTGAGTATCGGTGTATCACCTCACATTGGTGAAAAAGTTCTTTTGCTGGTAGTGCAACATCCAGTTCCACGACAGACTAAATTATCTGAGCAAAATGATTTTTTTTTGCCTGTGTCTGTCTTTTTTTACAGAATCGATAGGATGAGGGGAAAGTTGCGCCAGGGCAGGTTTAGGTTGGACTTTAGGAAAAATTTTTTCACTGAAGGGGTTGTCAAGCATTGGAACAGGCTGCCCAGGGAAGTGGTCAAGTCCCCATCCCTGGAGGTATTTAAAAGATGGGCAGACGAGGTGCTTAGGAACATGGTTTAGTGGTGGGATGGCAGGGTTAGGTTAACGGTTGGACTTGATGATCTTAAAAGGTCTTTTCCAACCCAAACGATTCTATGATTCTTTTAGCATATCTGTGTCAGGTGGGAGGGTTTTCTTTTCTCACTCTTTCTCTGTGCTTCTAACGGAGCAATTGCACTGACAGAAGTTCTAAAGGAGGGCCAAGCCCTAGCCTTTCAATAATTCAGCAATTAAAAGGATAACCTTGGTTAAATGGCTTGGAAAAGGTAAAACAATGAACAAATGCAACGTTTAGGAATAAGCCAAAATTTTGCTTTCTGTTTGAGTATGCCAGCATTTCATTTTCTAGCAGTTTGCAAACCAGGTAAAACCCTGTTGAACTTGGTAGAAATTTAGTTGTATGCTTTATTTCAGTTAGGATTTCATTCTGAGGATGCATTTATCATATGGTTGTCAAATGGTTGCTGTATAGAGGGGAAAACTTTCGCAAAGGAAAAGTGTAAGTAAAAGCAGCACTACGTCAAGGAATGACAATCCCTCCATTCCTTTGGTAGGCATTTTTTTGAGAAGGTGGCATATGAGCTTGAACCTTAGTAGCCTCTGGCATCGTGCAGAAGATGCACTGAGTGTAAATATGCCTGGACAGACTCACAATCCTTTATGTAAGTTGATGCCTTTTGGTATTTTTGAAATTTTGAAACACCCAAGATACAGGCTTCTTCTGAAAAGTAGCTACTGAGCATGCACAACAGCTATTTTTCATACAGCTTTCATCACTTCAGAGTCTGAGTGCAGTATTACTGCATAGTATTGTTACTTAAGATTTATCAACCTTCAGTTCTCAGGGTGTAATATCTTGGCTGTTTCAAATTGTGTCTGGCTGCCAGCCAAAATCAGAATTTCTTCACAAAACAAGAGCTGGAAAGAGCCAACTTGTCTGTGCTGATTTTGATTTATTAAAAGACTCCAGATACAGATTGACATTTTCAGCTCAATATTTGACTTTCACCAGCCTTGAAATGAGAACTGTGAGCACTTTGATAAACAGCTGAAAGGTTTGTCTGGTTTTTCTACAGCCTCTGTGCATATCTTTTTTTGGTTTTTTCCCCTCTTTTTAAAATAGTAACTGTTTTGCAATGCTTAGTGAATTACCATGGATGTTGTTAGTATGCTTTAGGGACAGCTTTCCTTCATTCTCCAATAAGGGAAGTGCATTGGTGCTGGAAGCATACCAGAATGGAAGTGCTGCATAACAAGAACAGTCCCTTACTACACTGTTACCAATATAAATAGTTCTCAAATTTTCAGTGTAGGTGGTATGCCTACCATGTTAGCCTGAATTGTTTTCTGACTTGTTTAACTAAAATGGCTTCCTCTCCAGGGCAGACGAGTCCTTAGAATCAGCCCCATTTGTTCTGTAGGTACCATGGGGCTGAGTGACCTGCCCATAGTGCCGTTAAAATGCAGTCATTTTTTGCAATATAAACAAATTCTTTTCCAGATGCTTCAGTGTGCTAAAATCTTAGGCGGCACTTGGCCTCAAAGGTGCTTGCTGCTGATCCTACTACAGGAGGAGTTTCAGTAGGCTACAGTTTTGGGATTGCTCAAGGACATTGATAAAGCCAGTTTCTGTGCCTTGAAATGGAACTATGCTTTAATTGTTATAGGACAGCTCTTAAAAGCATGCCTGTTGGAAATGTAAAGGTACAAAAGAGTTGAAATCCCAGAGTGTACGCTGTGGAAAGGAAAACCTTGATTTGTTCCAGTTGATCTTATCCAGGCTAGAATTGAGGACAGAGCAATGTACACAGCAGCTCCCTTGTTGTTTTTGTAGTACGGTCAGGCTCTTAGGAAACCCCCAAGAAGTATGCACTACAAAAACAACCGGAGCATTGCTGGGTATGAGTTGATATTTCCTAGATTCTAGTCTGGATAAGCTCAACTGGGATAAGTCATGTTTTTTCTTTACAAAGTATATGCTTGAGGTTTAAATTCTTTCACACCTGTAAATTACCAGGTTGAGTGTATATGGCTAAATGAAACACAGCACACATTCAGCTGGGTCAGGGCATGGTGATGATTTTTTTGGATTTAATTATGTCACATTTCTGATCCCAAAATGTAGTATAGGTAGGAGTGTTGTGGAAGGCTCCTTTCATGTCCTTTGTGGAACCATTTCGTAACTGTTCCTCTTGTTTGATTATATTTATTGCACAAATGTAAAGAATGGCTAATATGAAAAAAAAACCAACCTGTTTTCATCTGACGCAATTAAATGCTTTTGTTGAGATTTCTGTGTGCGGTATTCTGCCAAAGAAGTTAACGTATGGTAAGGTTTCTAAGTATTTTGGAGAGTAATTTTAGAGTTACGAGCTATCAGTTATGAGTTTTATTATGTAAAGTCCCATGTGGAATGGAAGGGCTGATATTGTTGAGTTTAATGAAGTTGTGCTTAGTGCAAACACCACTAAAAAGTAAGTAGACAATGTTAATGGGATAGAACATTTCCACAGAATAACGGTTTCCTGCTGTTAGATAAAAACCAGAAACCAAGCAAATATTTATTTTCCAAGTGGGAGACATAGATCTGATGATGATGTTTCACTAAAATGAGTTGTCTGTTAGGCAGAATGACTGATGCAGATGTAATCACTTCAATCTCATCAGTGATGTCTTAGATAGATTGTTCCCACTGTAAATGTTTTACACTGTAGTCTTTATTCCTGTTGATAAGAGACCTCTAATATCTGTTATTCCGTATTCACACTTTACACCCTACAATAACATCTGCTAGGACTGTTCTCTCTTATCCTTAGCTGAGATCTAAACAATTATAACCACTACCCGTATCCAGAGTGTTAATATAATGAATGCCTGCTCCACCATGTATTTCCCAAATGGTGTTACTTTAACAAAATCACTTATTTTGCTCATCTTGCTTTTACTGTATGACTCATACAACATCTCTGAGCTGGTTCAAAGTCTTTGAAGAAGTGTCCATCTCCTGATCATTCATCTGCAAAAAAAGATGTCAGTGCCTTAATTAGTACACAAAAGAGGAGAGGTTGAAAGTTAGCTTTCTGGGGGGAGAGGGCTATATGTGTATCTTGGGGAGAGGGGTGGAAAGAGATCTTGGGAGGTAAGAGGTACCATTTTGCACTAGCTGAAACTTCAGGGTGGTCTTTCATTGTAAGTATATGCATCATAGCTACTGCAGAAAGGCTGGAATGTCTCTCTGACCATTTGTTTTCTCTTTAGGGCCAAGGACAAACCTTTCAGTTTCCCAACCTATTTCCAGAGAAAGAACAAGACACAGAAACTGACTCTTTTGATGACTTCAAGAATAAATATATGGAGAGAGAGAAGCAGAGGCAGAAAGGTGACCCCAGACGAGGTGGAGTCCCCGACTGGTTTGGACTTTGATGCAACAAGCCAGCTGCCTTTCTTTAGGCTCAGAGGGATTTTGATCAGCAGAACTTGCACTCTTCCCTTCTTGTAATGATCAAATGTTTATTCTTGAGCAGCCCTTGCTAGCGTGTCTTTTTTTCCTGGCTGTTTGTGCACGACTACAACAAAATGGCCCTAAAGAAATAAAAAGGTAAAATAAATCTGACTGCATCAGGTCTTTCCTGTGAACTTGCGGGCTATTTCTAAAATGTGGAATTGCTTGTTGTTGTTTCTGACTATGAGAGTGTCCTTGTGCTTACCTTCTTCCTGCTTCTATGGATTGTTTTGAGTAGAAGCAGGAGGCATTTCATTTCCCAGGGTAAGTGTAGTTTGCATTGAATGGAATGTGTAAAAGTCAAGATAGGTCAGTCGGAGGCGGACATGAAGGTGTAGATAACTAGATTATAGGCTCAGGACATTAGGGTTCCCTTATTGTCGGTTATGGTGTCCTACAATCCTGTGAATTGCCTTCCTTGCAAAATTACTCCCCCTCCCTTTCCTGGAGATGTGTGTGTGATCTGATTACACTCCTTTGTTAATGGTTGTGTGGCATTTTGGAGACGGGGGTTCATTGGATAGGCTTGTGACCTTGATCCCCAGAAGCATCAAGGAACGGACAGAGGTGTTGCAAAGTCTCTGCTTGCTGTTGCACAGCGCAGGTAGTTGCCTTCTGTGGCCAGCCTTCCCTAGGAATGTTTACTGGCATGGCTGTGCTAGTATTCCTTCCCCTGTCCACAGCTACCTTGCAGCGCTGGCAAGAGTCCTGTGTGGACACAGTTGTACTGGCATAGAAATGCTGCTGCCAGTATAGGCTGTTTTGTGCTCAGGACTAATAAAAAGACTCTTTTTAATTTTTCTGGTGCAACTTCCCCTACTTCCAAGTTGATGATGCCAGGGCAGTGGTAGAAATTTTCTAGGCCTTCAGGGCTGCCACGTTCAGGCTTTTCATTTCTTGGCTCTGCGGCTGTTTCTCCTTGCTTTGATGGAGGATATTTCCTCTTTTCCTTTGTCAAGTAATGTGCTCTGCTGGTGTGTCAGAAACAGCAGGGGAAAAGGAGGACTAGGAAGGACTTCACCACAGATAGACAAGGATGTGTTTCTGCAGGCCATTGGCTATCACACCAGCACATGCAGGGTTAAGCATATGGCTAACGTTCCCGGCTTTTGAATTCTGCCACTTGGAGCAATTGGCAGGGTAGTGAATGAGCCCATGCCTTGCACGCTTCTACCCGGGTGCTCTCCTTTATTGTTCTGCATCTGAACTTCTTGTTTGGACAGCTAGCAAGATGTTTACAAGGAAACAGCTGTTCCCCAGAGAGGCAATCCAAATAGGATTTTACGCACCCCCTTCTGTTCATTAGTCGCCTCTTTCCCCCTGCTACTTCCCTTCTGCACGACAGTCCATCTCCTTCTGTGGTTTGTTGCTTACAACCCCAGTGACTCTCCCACCCCCCTCTTTGTCCATTTTCCAAGGGGGATCATGCGTGATGATCTAAGTTAGCTGGTGCTTAAACAGAGAGATGCTCTCAGAGAGGAGGGAGATAAGGGAGGATTTGCTACTCCCAGCCTGCCAGCAGAGTTACAATAGTAGATGTGGAAAAATACTGAGTTCACTGAAAACAGTTCTTATGTTTGGCATATCTGCAAAGCCAACACTTCCAGAGTTTTGTAGTGACATGTGAAACTCCAGGTTAAATCAGGAGCTGGCCTGCAGTTTTAAAGTAGGATGATTGAATTTGTCAGATGCAAGGGTCTCTCCTCTTGCTGTACACAGCCTCCCCACCACCCCCTCCTTTTTTTAATGTATTTTTTACTGGGGCTGTTTCTCAAACTCCCAGCTCAGTGTGGAGCTGATCCATGTCGGGGCTGGGGCTCTGTTCCTACAGTATAATGTTACGGAGTTTGCTATTTTTTCTTCACTTTCCTTTGTGGTTCCCTCCAATATAGGTAACTCCATCTTCTTCACCATGGTGAAGATAAAATGAAAAGAATTCATCTAGTGCTGCTATATATCTTCCTAATTGGTTGGTCAGCCTTGAGCAAGCAAACAGTCAGGTATGTGATAGTTCTGGATAAATGAGGCTATATTCCATGCGTTAGGTGTAACAGCAAGAGATATATTAACCATCAGCCTCTCTGCCTTCCGTGTTACGGTCTTTGGGAGAGGTTGGAGTCACCAGCTTCTGTACTGGCATTGAGGACTCAAGCTGAGGAGTTTATTTGCAGTCCCAAATATGCCCTAGGCTCAGTGAGTATCAAAAGCCCCTGGGTAGGGCTGCCATATTTTGCTACTCTGTGATTTCTCTGTGGGTGATTAATTTCCAGCTGAATGTTCAAGACAGGTTTCTGTCTGGAGTGGCACAAAAAGGAAGACATGAAGAGGCGAGTATACCTGTATCTATATGAAGTTGCTGCAACCAAATTCTGGCAGATACCCAAGCTGCTCAATGTTACCCACTACCTCTAAAATAGTATCCCTGTGAAATTAAGGTAAGATTAAAAAAAGAAAACTAAAAGCCCCTGCCCCACCATTATTTTGCTTTAAAGCTCCTGATTGCCACGGAAGTGGGATTAAAAAGATGTAGAGTCTTTCCCAGTCCCATGTTGGCCAGCGTTTCTGAGGAAGTGCCAGTGCTTAATATGATCTGGTGCTTCACAAATCCCATCCCCCAAACTGTACAGGCTAGAAGATAATGGAGATGATATTTGAATATGAAGGCAGAGATTATGTCATGTACCAGAGATAAGTACAGAACATGAGTGGTGAAACTGGGACAAGGACTCAGAGTTATGTAGTTTTGTTACTAAACTGTGCTCCTTCCAGCACATCCTGATATTTATTTTGTGTGATGCAAGGGATTGGCAGATCCTATGAGGTCACATCTAGCCCTGCTATCAGAGGTGTTGAGGTGTCCTTGGCTATGTCAGCAGCCATACCTGTGGGCCAAGGAGTTGGATATATGTGTGAATAACTTCTCCAAGGACAAAACTAATGACTTGGTTGAAGAGGCTGATGTTCGCTGTGGTGCAGGAGAAGCCACGTCCCGCACTTGGCGTGCAGAGCTCTGCAGCTGCTGTCTTCTCTGACGTGCAGGGGAGACGTTGAACGCAGTTTCTTTCTCCTCTGAACGTGTGCAACCCCCCGAAGAGAGTAATGTGCTGGAACAGTCAGTGGATGCGCAATTGACTGCGTCAGCCGCTCTGGTGGAGAAAAGCATCCGGCTACGATGAGCTTTGTCCCAGCAACACCAGTATACTTCACAGGGAGTGCGCAATTGCTTTTTTGTTTGCTTGTATTTATTCTTTTTTAAGACAAGCCAGAACAGAATTGGAGAGACATGGACAGTGGCTTTCCTAACATTACAGCTTTGAGATGAGTTTTGTGCTGTAAGTCATACTCCGTTGGGTACTAGGAACAAGTTCCTTGTTGGTTGAAGTGGATCACAGAAGAACATGTGGGTGTCTGCGGGTGAAAAAATGACCGTGTCTTGTAACCACTTGTCACCTGAGCCTTGCTTCATGACCTCAGAGAACGCAAATGTTGGTCTTCACAGTTACCTTGAGGTAGGAAGGCATATAGTTCAGCTCAGCTGGTGAGTGGTTAGATGCAAAGCTGCGGTAGGTCAAAGATTGCCTGCAGATCAGTGGCCAGTTTTATGGTCCTGTGCATCATTCCTTGTTTGTCAGTCTACTGCTGGTTAAGAGAAGAAAAAAAGCTAATTAAAATAAATGATAGGAAAGAAGTAGGTACAAACTTGTGGTGGATTCCAGAAAAGGCATGTTCTAATCCATTTCACAAATACTCCTGCTCTGTGCAAAGGAAAGCCAGGAGGAAAATTTTGCTTTATATAAGGCCATCTTGCTGTGGAAAATGTCTTCATGGCTGGGGAGTTCCGCGTTGTCCCATTATATCAAAGTTGGGGTTCTTTTTCAGGAAAATTATTTTACTTATTTGAATTTTCAGGTTACAGGGCAGACTATTGCTTCTTCAGCTCTGGCGTGTTTGTGGAACGGCTTGCAGAGAGCGGTAAGGGTTGGACAGAGGATGTCTGCTTAGTGTGTGAAACAGGGCAAGGTACACAAAGCAAGCACTATTTTTGCTAGGAGGACTGAAAGCTGTAAAACCGTTATCTTAACAATGCTGCTTTCTCCTGAAGTAGAGTTCAAGGGCTGCTCAGAGTCCAATTTAAAACAGTTGTCTGAGAATGGCTTTCCAGGGTGGCTTATATGCCAAGGCTCATAGGTACCACAGCTAAAAAGGAACATTGTGATAATCCCTTTTGACCTCCTGAATAACACAGGCCATAAAATTTCATGCCGTAGTTTCTGTGCGTAGTCCAGAAGCTTGCGGTTGAGTGTTACCTGGAATGGATTTCAAGGCTTGAACTTGACAAGCGTTGCAGGATGAAGTAAGTTTACTTGAATAAGCTGGGCCCAAACAGCCTGAAAGTCAGCAACACTTTGTCATCTGTCCTGTGAATTTCTTAAAGTGGTTGTA